TAGGCATATTAACACAACATTTTAATTTTTCAATTTCCTTACAAAGTTTCAAACATTATGATAAGTAAATAAAAAAAAACAAAAAACTGTATTCACTCCAATGCGTTATTAGAGACCTACATTTAGAAACAAAACTAAAAAAAAAAGTTTAAAATGTCTATTTCATTATAAAAAAAAAAAAAAAAAAAAACTTGTTGCATTAATAACTGCACTTCCTATAACATTATCAATGCTAGTCGAATTTCATAGAGTAATAAAATAAAAACCGGCTTTATAATTATGAAAAGTTATCATAATTAATAAAGTTGAAATTAATTTTAATTAATTAATTGTCCTGTTCGTTATTATTATTATTTTAATACATACTCTTGTTATACTTGTTGCTTTTAATATTATAAAGCTATTAATAATAAATAATTGATATGTGATCATTAACTAATAAATTAAACATAGTAAATTGTTAAACAAAAAATCATGATTACATTTTTATTTTAAATTACTTTAAAAAATATAAATTTATACAATTGCTTAAAAAAAAAAAAAATTTAAACGATAATCCACTAATTAATCAATTATAATATCGGCGCTGATCTTAATTTGCTTAATTTAAATTAGAGTAATTAATTTTTATTTATATAAATTTATACATGTATATCTTTCAAAATTATTATTTCAAAAAAAAAAAAATTAAAGATGGTTAAATTTTTAAATTTTTAACCGAAAATCGTTGAAATTAATTAAAATTTTTTACTTATTAATTTATAAAATCTAAGTCGGATTCGATGAATCGTTGGCTACTATATTATTATCCGTTTCTAAATTTTCCAATCCGATGCTTTTAAGAAAACATTCGCAATCGATCCATGATGAATCGTAATTTTCTTTCATTTTTGTCAGCTCGGAAAATTCTTTACTAAAATTCAATGGCGGAAATGATATGAACCGACCTTTTTCTGTGTCGAAAAAATTTATTAAATCTTCAATTGATACTTGTCCGCAATCGTTTCGATCGACTCTGAAAAAAAAATTTACTCTAAATATAAATAACGTTAAAAAAATAAATGTGTCGAATCCGTGTAGAATTTTCCCCGAAAATTTCCGTTATTATCTATAATACTGTTTATTACACTATGAAATTACATTTCCCTACACAGAACTCTAATTAAAAATTTAAACTTGGCTTACAATTGGAAAACAGTGGTTAGTAAATCTGGAGTGATGGGAATTTTGGCACCTTTACACAAGGACAAAGCAACTTTTTCAGGAATGTATCCACCACAACAAGAATCATTATTATATAAATATTCTATTAGTCTTTGAAAACCTCCCCACAAGTATCTTTTGCATTCTCCTCTGCAAAAGTTACTGAAAAAAAAAAAAAAAAAATTTTTTTAATAAACAAGATATTGAAAATTATAAAATAAAAATAAAAAAAAAAAAATTTACTTACATAACTTGACTTTTAGAATATTTTGGAGACTGATCGGCCATTCTAAATTGTCTGGCAAGAGTAATAATTTCATGTTCAGATATTTCATCACGGAATAAATTAATAAGAACTTTTCTAAAATCTGAATATTTTAAAATTTTACCAAAACCACCTTCTTTACTTATACTATGGACTAAACAGGAAGCCACAAATTCTTTATAATTAGGTCGGATTTTTTCTCGGATTTTTTCAACAATTAATTTCGAATTACTTTTTGGAAACTAGAAAATTTCAATTTTGTTATCCCATAATGTAAATATTTTATGTAGGGAAAAATAAAAATTTAAGAAAAAATAAATTTTTTTTATACGGACTTCTTGACTATGAAGTTCCATGTATCTTAAACAATATTCGTCTGCATTAATTAATTTAAATTTAAAACCTTCCAATTTTAATACGTTTCCAATCCAAAAATCTT